ATTGTTATGGTGGGGGCATGGTGATGACCATTGTTATGTTGGGGGCATGGTGATGGCCATTGTTATGGTGGGGGCATGTTGATGGCCATTGTAATGGTAGGGGCATGGTGATGGCCATTGTTATGGTGGGGGCATGGTGATGACCATTGTTATGTTGGGGGCATGGTGATGGCCATTGTTATGGTGGGGGCATGGTGATGGCCATTGTAATAGTAGGGGCATGGTGATGGCCATTGTAATGGTGGGGGCATGGTGATGGCCATTGTTATGGTGGGGGCATGGTGATGGCCATTCTAATGGTAGGGGCATGGTGATGGCCATTGTAATGGTAGGGGCATGGTGATGGCCATTGTAATGGTAGGGGGCATGGTGATGTCTGTTGTTATGGTGGGGGCATGGTGATGTCTGTTGTTATGGTGGGAGCATTGTGATGTCTGTTGTTATGGTAGGGGGCATGGTGATGGCCATTGTAATGGTAGGGGCTTGGTGATGGCCATTGTCATGGTAGGAGCAAGGTGATGTCTGTTGTTATGTTAGGGGCATGGTGATGTCTGTTGTTATGGTAGAGGGCATGGTGATGGCCATTGTAATGGTAGGGGCATGGTGATGGCCATTGTTATGGTGGGGGGCATGGTGATGGCCATTGTTATGGTAGGAGCAAGGTGATGTCTGTTGTTATGGTGAGGGCATGGTGATGACCATTGTAATGGTAGGAGCATGGTGATGTCTGTTGTTATGGTAGGAGCAAGGTGATGTCTGTTGTTATAGGAAGAGTAGTGGTGTTATAGTAGTAGTATGTTGATGTCTAATTTTATGGTAGCAGTAAAGTAATATCCATTGTTATGCTAGGAGCAAGGTGTTGTCAAATGTTAGGGGCATGGTGATGTAAGATGGTGCCCATTGTTATAGTAGGAGCAAGGTGATGTCTGTAGTAGTAAGATGATGTCCATTGTTATAGTAGGAATAAGGTGGTGTCTGTAGTAGTAAGATGGTGCCCATTGTTATAGTAGGAGCAAGGTGATGTCTGTAGTAGTAAGATGATGTCCATTGTTATAGTAGGAATAAGGTGGTGTCTGTAGTAGTAAGATGGTGCCCATTGTTATAGTAGGAGCAAGATGGTGCCCATTGTTATAGTAGGAGCAAGGTGATGTCTGTAGGAGTAAGATGCCCATTGATATAGTAGGAATAAGGTGATGTCTGTAGTAGTAAGATGGTACCCATTGTTATAGTAAGACCAAGGTGATGTCTGTAGTAGTAAGATGGTACCCATTGTTATAGTAGGAGCAAGGTGGTGTCTGTAGTAGTAAGATGGTGCCCATTGTTATAGTAGGAGCAAGGTGATGTCTGTAGTAGTAAGATGCCCATTGATATAGTAGGAGCAAGGTGATGTCTGTAGTAGTAAGATGCCCATTGATATAGTAGGAGCAAGGTGATGTACTAGATAAAGGTGATGTCTGATAAAAAAGTATATGCACTGATGCACTATAAACAAAACTTTCATTTTGAAAAAAAATATTTTATTTTTAAGATGTACATGAAATTTACAATATGGACGGATTAACAACATTTGATAAATTTTCTTGCTTTACAATGTAAAATAAAACTAGAAGTTCTCAGAAAGTCATCTCTGTTGACTTTCAAACCCTCTTTTAAGGTAAAAATGAATTCATATCACAGAATTGTTTAAAAAATGCTAGAAGTAAGTTACAAAGCCTTCAGAGCTTAAGACATCCTTAGGTGATGTCCGTTTTTAGCAGTGAACAACCCTGTAGCTAGAGTTAGGTGATGTCTGGTGTTTTTTTTAAACAGACAATAGTACAACAGTTGACCAACCTCTAGAATATAACCCATAATTAGATTATACAAGTGGACCACACTCTAAAATACAACCCTGAGTTAGGTGATGTCTTGTGTTTATAGATTTAGGTAATAGTACAACAGTGGACCACACTCTAGAATACAACCCTGAGTAAGGTGCTGTCTTGTGTTTCTATAAACAGAACACATAAATTTAAACAAGAGTTAGGTGATAGTAAAACAGTGGACCATCCTCTAGAATACAACCTTGAGTTTGGTGATGTCTGGTGTTTCTATAAACAGACAGTAGTACAACAATATAATCAAGAGTACTACTTGTGACCACCTTCTGGAAAACATCCAAGAGTAAAATGATGTCTGGTGTTTTTTTACCAGACAGTGTATCAGAGGATATCTTACAATCTGTTATTTCAATTAAAAATAATATTCCTCACTTTTCACAAATTTTCTAGATAAACCTTAACCTTACCTATACACAAATAGGCATATTTCACAAGAAAAACCGAAATAATTAACAGTACACAATATATATAAATCATATTTTACATTTTATCACATATCTCTATATAAAGAGATTGTAAAGAGGTTAAAAAATTGTATGTTTACAGGGGACACCTTACTACTAGCATGACATCACTCAACATTGTTAAAGCTACAAGAGACATGACCTTACTACGAGTGGACAGTTCCACTAAAACTAAGTGTTTTATGACGTCAGATTTGCCAAGATCTATCAGCTTTTGCAATAGTAACGTCATTAAACACATTCTTTTAGTGGAATTTCAAGTGCCATGGACGATCCTCTCAGAATTGGAATATTGCAAATTGATGTCTCTGATATATATACAAATTTTAGAAAACCTCTTTACATTCCCTTTAATAATTTCAAATCGGCCTCAATTACCTGTGATATCGTACACAAACTAAACTGATTAAAAGCTGTTACATTCCTCAACATGAATCTGGGATGAAATATGACTTTTAAAAAATACAAAAATATATATATATATATATTAAACACAAAAAACTCAAAGAGCACTAAGTTTGAAATCTCAAAATTTTTGAAAAAGTATCACCCTGTTTCTGAAAATGAATTTTTTTCCCAAAAAATAAGATTATCCAAAAATGTTTAATATTATATTCTGTAACAAGGTAACAATTTATCATTTGTCTCAAAATAATATAATTTGTAAATAAAAATAAAAATGTAGTTAAAAAGATGAAATGATAAATTTAACAATTTTTTTGTTTGTAGCCATGTTTTCAATTGTAACCAGTGGCAACTCAATTAGGGATACAGGGGGTTTGAACCCCAATCTATACCACCACTTCATTTCTAACAAATTGTCTTAGACCAATGGGGGCTTGCACCTATGCCCTTCCACAGAGCTGCAGCATTTTGAATCTTGATCTCAACAGTTGTCCTCCATTGAAGTAAATCAATGTGCCCCCTTTTTGTACCCTAATTTTTGGGATACTGGCACGGCCACTGATTGTAATATAATATTCAGCAACCATTTTATTTCTATTACAAACTTAACATTAATACAATTTAAACATTTGTAAATGAAAAGATTTGATTGGATTGTACACAGATACACAGAGCGATTACAACCAATCAGAGGCCTCAACAGAAATGTCTGTGAACACAAAGCCATAATGTTTACTGGTGTGGGCTCTGATAAGCTGTATTTTTGGCATACCATCCAATCAAATCACTGCATTCATACAAAAATTTGTGTATACTCATATTTTAAAATTTGTTCTGTTGGGTCAAACCAATGACACGATATAAAAAGGGGAAATAAGCCACATTAAAATAAGGTAATAAAAAACATTTCACATTAACTACCGGTTGATAATGTTCACTTACAGCCATCTTTTCACTTTTTTAGAATCAAAATATAACATCTACTTTTTGCACAATTCAATAAAAGTGTGGTAGTTTATACAAGAAGTATACAGCTATGTACATTTAATACTATTAATACTTAAGCTTAAAAATAATTATTGGCAAGGATTAATTAAAGAATCACAGAAAAGTTTTTAATAATTATATTACATCATATATTATATTTACAAAATGGAGGGACTGGTTTCACACACAATTAAGGGTGTCGGAAAATATAAAGGGCACACCCCTGAAATGGAGTTGCAATAAAATACACAACTTTGTCTGCTTCAAAATGGAGCACTTAACATAATCTAAAATGACTTCTGATGAACGAAAACAAGACCTTTTTTCCAGCAGACGTGATTCTTGATGATTACCTTATTTGGTTCCACCTACAGTAAATAAGGCTTCGTAACTTGGCAGGCCTGTTGTCAACGGGGGCAGACGACCTTGGAATACTGGAGCTCGATTGATATCAGATCCATTCTGAAAAAAAAAATGACTCTTACTTTTGTGCCATAACAAATAAGTTATTAATACAAGCTTAGTAATTAAAATTAACTTACAATAAAGTTATTAATACAAGCTTAGTAATTAAAATAAACTTACAATAAAGTTATTAATACAAGTTTAGTTATTAAAATTAACTTACAATAAAGTTATTAATACAAGCTTAGTAATTAAAATTAACTTACAATAAAGTTATTAATACAAGCTTAGTAATTAAAATAAACTTACAATAAAGTTATTAATACAAGTTTAGTTATTAAAATTAACTTACAATAAAGTTATTAATACAAGCTTAGTAATTAAAATTAACTTACAATAAAGTTATTAATACAAGCTTAGTAATTAAAATTAACTTACAATAAAGTTATTAATACAAGCTTAGTAATTAAAATTAACTTACAATAAAGTTATTAATACAAGCTTAGTAATTAAAATTAACTTACAATAAAGTTATCAATACAAGTTTAGTAATTAAAATAAACTTACAATAAAGTTATTAATACAAGTTTAGTAATTAAAATAAACTTACAATAGAGTTATTAATACAAGCTTAGTAATTAAAATTAACTTACAATAAAGTTATCAATACAAGTTTAGTAATTAAAATTAACTTACAATAAAGTTATTAGTACTAGTTGCAGGCTGAGATTTCTCGATGGGTTCACTGTGAGTCTGAGAGACGACAAAAAGCCCTGTTAAATCTGGACCAGTACCATTAACCATGTTATTGGATGTGACAGAGTAGGGGTAGTCCTGAAATTGATTTGGTTCGTTGTTTCTTTGTTCGTGTGTGCTGGCCTGTTGTTCAGGTCCATTTGTCATTGCAGCAATCTGAAAACACAACACAGTTTATTGAGGTAGGCCTATAACTGGAGTTTACTGTTCTGGAAAGACTCTGCTGTCTGGACTCTATGGTGGTTAAAGCATTCAAATTTTATGACTTTTTATATCCTGCTGTTCTGTCACCTTGGCCAATAAAATGAATGGAGTTTTACATCCTACTGTTGTGTACCTTTTAACTCTAGTTTGGTAAATTAAAGAAATGCTACAATTGAGAGGAGTTTTAGATTTTTCAAACTTTTGTTTAAATCTGTTCCAGAATACAGTTTTGTGTCCTACTGTTTTCTATGTTACTGTTCAAATGAAAATTTGAAAATTGGACATCTTATACCACACCATGAATTTAAAAACAAAATCATTCACAACTGAAGTTTGAAATAATTTGAAATAAAAACAAACCTGTGAAGTTCGAACGTGATAGGGAAAATTACCATTAGCTGCACCTGGTCGCGTTAAAACCTAACAAAATAAATAAATTAAAATAAATCAAAATAAATAATTTGAAGCCATGCTTATATAGAGTACTTTCTGTCCATGAAATACAGGGTTATTGCCCTTCTCTCATATCTTGAGTTATTTCCCTTACCTCATATCATTATTAAACAAAGATATCTACACAAATTAATTTTTTTAAAATGAAATGAAATGAGATGAATGGAGTTTTACATCCTTCTTTCTGCACCATGTGAGTTTTATCTTTGAGAGAGAAATTTTATGCCAATTGTACAGCTACACATACAAATATTGAATTCAAAACCAGTAAAAATAATTTTACTCATGAATATGCATAAAATATACTTCAGCAATAAAGATCTAAACATGCCATGCAAATTAATTGAATTGTAAAGAAGATTTCCTAACTTTTATGTGCATTTATAGATTTGCTACATTCAAATTTTCAATCAGATGTCTGTGGTTCTTACAATTCAACTATAACTTATTAGTTTATGATGGGGCTATCGCAAAAGTTCATAGATATAAGTAGCAATTTTGTGATAGAGATGTCATATATAGTCAAGTATTTCTATATCTACAGGGACCACAGACATCTGACGGAAAATTGGAATGGTGCAAATGGATGCTAGCGGTGTCCCTGACACTTATAACGAAGTTAGATAATCTCCTTACAACCCCTTTATATACAATCTTGTGGGCGCTTGAAAATGGTGAAAAAAATTATAATTCAAAGCCTTTAAACTAGCAGCCATAAAAAAAAAACTTCACTCACCAAGAAAAAGAGATGTCCAAGTAAAGCAATCAGCATTTCAACGCCATTGACTGTCTTTTCACGAACCCACAGTTCCAGAGCATGCTGAGCTACCATGATTATAATAGGACCAGCCCAAAACCTGGAAAAATTCAACGATCAGTTATTATTTGATAAAGACTGGCTTTATATGGGACAACGGCAAGTGCATCAATATCACTGTATTTTATAATGAACAGTTTGACTAATTCTATTTCTCCTCTTCTCTTTATATGTTGAGGGTAATTAATCAGCTGAATACTGGAGGCTCTCCCTAATCAATAAGCAGCGATCAGAAAACATTTTAATAAATCTTATATTTAGGATCTATAGAGTACAAGATCAAGTTCATTATGCCTATATTCCAACCCAGCATCTCCAAGTAATTGTGGACTTCTTCATAATGTCAAGGCATTTTTAACTCTGTCTAAAACCTTGACATCAATAGGCACTTTCCTTGTAGGCTATTTTTTTTTTCATTGATATTCCAATGAATGAGCCCCAACATCTCCCCCAAAAAAATGTGGAGCCGCGGTTGCTCAATAAGTTAGACGCTTGCTCGCTAACCTGAAGGTCCAGGGTTCAACCCCAGTATAGGTCGAGATTCCTTCTGATTTTTCAACCCAGTTAGTAATTCAGGCAAGAGGGGCTCACATGGAAAAAACATCTAGTCGTTCGGATGGGACAATAAACCGAGGCCCCGTGTGCTACAGGCTGTGCGCGTTAAAGATCCCTCGACAGTTGGAATTCGAAAAAGAGCAGACTAATGTCTTGGCACAATTTTCTTAATTGCAACCTGCATGGCGTTGCCCGTCTTCATTAGCCCACGTGGTGCAGAAAAGTAGGAAGTAGAACTTGTTTCATTCATTTTGTTTCCCCATGAAATGTGATAAAATTCACTCACCATATTGTATAGAAGATAAAGAAGGGATAATAGAACGCCCCTTTACTTGGAAAATTCTTCAGGGTGAAAAATATGGCATACAGGAACCACAGCCAGCCAATTAGTCTCATAGCAACCAGCCCGTATCCAGGGGGACTGTCATATAGATACAATACTTTACCAGGATCAAATAACTATAACAAAAATAGGATTTTTTTAAGCAGTTTTATATATTGCGTGGTTTATTTAAGCCAAACCTCGGGCTTATTGTTAGACACATCGCTAGATTTAAACATACATATACCAGTACTGACTTATTATTTCACCACCAGTGGCAATTCTCTAAAGAATTATGTAGAGAGGTCCAGTGGGGGCCAAAATGACCATGCCTTTTAGAACGCAATGCTGTGAAATTTGGGGGACCAGCTATAGAAAAGCCACAACACCACATGAAAAATGGCCAGTAAAGGTGCTGCTAGTGTTTAACGGGTTAAGGATAACTTGAAAACCTGAAATAAGTTGACTCACCTCTGCTTCCCAAATAAAGAGTACAGCATATACAACAATATATATACACATAAACACTGTTATTTTAATAGCACCCTGTTGACTGAGGCGACCCCTAGTTATCGTGTACCCCTTCGCCATCAATATCAACATTAATAAAAACACCAACAGACTCGCTGCACCAAATATACGAGCTGGAATAAAAATTACAAATCATGAAATAATTTAGAATCATCAAATGAAATGAAATGAGCAAAATGATATGCATGATTCTTTTATTCCAATAAAAATGCACATCATCTTGTAGTTATTTAACAATACAGTTTTCTCAGCTTGCCTATTATTTTTTAAAATACTTCTCTGTTAATGATTTTTGAAATTAGTTGCATTATGGTTGTCTCCCTTTGATTGACAAAACAAAACAAGGATGAAAAACAACCCTTTTAAAATTAAAAAATATCAACAGAATATCAAGGAAACAGGGAAAATTTCCTAAAAAAATTGTTCATTGTTTCATCAACGGAAATAAATACGAACCTGTCAGGACAGTTTTAGGTTGCGGGTATCCACTGTCACCATAGCGACCATAAGCAATACTCAATAACAACAAGTGAAACGTCCACAATCCTAGTGACACTATATACATTTTATAGGTGGTGTGGAATAACTGACGATTCTTTAGATGGACTGGAATAAAAGACAGAGAATGTGAAGGTTGATTCGATATGGCCCTTTCTCCCATTTAATGCAAATTGGGATTTGTTGACTATGAAGTCATTTTATGTTTTTCAATAAACATCATTAATGGGAGTTACCTTTCTTTGATACAGCAGCTTAGCCAGACTTGATTGTTTGGAGTGGCAAGTAATAAATCCAGAGGGGCAAGTAATATATCCAGAGGGGCAAGTAATATATCCGAAGTGGTAAGTAATATATACGAAGGGGCAAGTAATATATATGGAGGGGCAAGTAATATATCCAGAGGGGCAAGTAATATATCCGGAGGGGCAAGTAATATATCCGGAGGGGCAAGTAATATATCCAGAGGGGCAAGTAATATATCCGAAGTGGTAAGTAATATATACGAAGGGGCAAGTAATATATATGGAGGGGCAAGTAATATATCCAGAGGGGCAAGTAATATATCTGGAGGGGCAAGTAATATATCTGGAGGGGCAAGTAATATATCCGGAGGGGCAAGTAATATATCCGAAGGGGTAAGTAATATATCCAGAGGGGCAAGTAATATATCCGAAGGGGTAAGTAATATATCCGGAGGGGCAAGTAATATATCCATTGTGTATGGTTTTTATTCAATGTAATGAAATTGGTAGGTTGTCAGAATTTTTTCAGTGGGGTAATCCATTTCCCCCCTTGACCACCTGTAGCCACAGGTCTGACAAGACGATCTAGTGACGAAAAGGGGTTCAAAATGTTCAACTTACCGGCTACGACGATTGATAAAAATACCATGATTAAATAACCAAGTAAAAACGCTATATCTACTGGTAGGATATCTGAAATAATGGGATATTGATGTAATATTTTCATCACCTTAAAGTCAGCTAACCATAACATTTTTACACAAGAAACAACAAATCAACAAAACAAACAGTAATCATAGGCGTAGGGGACATATCTTTTCTGGCAGTAATCAAATAAACCTCGGGCAGACAAGTAGAGTTTTCGGGTGATGCTCTAAAAATAATTAAGTTCTCCTCTTTGTTTCTTCATCCAATACCACACAGTTTCCCTTTAAGATTGGATGTTTGTGGTTTCTGCAATTCCACTAAAAATAAGTGTTAGATGACGACACTAATTGTGAAGGGCCTTATGTGATAAAGCATATTTTGCGATAAGTGACTTCACCAAACACTTAGTTTAGTGGAATTGCACTTACCACAGACATGTGATTGAAAATTGAAATTCTGCTAATTGATATTATCAGTGCCCCTGATACACATTAAAGATTTTAAAAACCTCTTTATAATCTCTTTCAGATCATACACAGAGAAATAACTTACAAAATTCATCAGCAGAGAATTCGTAAGTGAGCAATTCATCTGGTTCACCATTGGTCAGATGCATGTTATAATCCAGCTTCAATCCATTCGGCTAAAAATAGAAACATGTGCATCTTCATAAAAGAGGTGACTAGTTAGCTGAAAGCAGACGTTAAATGGTCATCTACCAAGCTATGAAGTTGACAAGTTGACAATTCCAGTTGTAGAATGATACAGGGTGTTCTAGAAGAGTGAGATCCACCACACTAACAGATGGATAAAGTGAAGCCCACATCTATAAAAAAAAACTGAACTGAAAAGCTTAAAGCTCCTGAATATTTTAAACACAGATGTTGGAAGTCTGAGATGAGCTCTATCAAGACAAGAAATATACTGCAAGGCAAAAGGCGTTATATGTAGGGTGGGCCAAAAAGAACGTCCCAAAGTTCGACAGGTAATATCTCAGCTGTTGGTAAACTGATCTCTTTCAAAATTCTCAGAGATAGACTTCAGGATGTTGTTACAGTACTTGTACAATTTTTTTTCCATGACTTTCATATTTTCAGGGTTGGACAAGCACATCTTAAAGTCTATCTGTGAGAATTTTCAAAGAAATCAGTCTATCAACAGCTTAAACACTACACCCTATCCATCTATTATACATCAATCATATATATATAAGTAAAGACAACGAAGTAAGTCAGTGTAAAATGGATTTCAAGCTACAAAAAGAAGCAGTAGAATGTTAAATGAGTTTATTGACCACAGAACATGTAACTGCCAGTGTCTGTCCAGATGTATCAATATTTTCAGATATGACCTTTCTTTTGCCCTTCAATGAATCTATATCTATATAGATATCATTTCTTACCTGTCCAGGTTTATTCTCGCATCTAGACAGGGCAATAAACCACCAGCGTTCACGAGATGAACGAAATGTTCTTTTTCCACTACAGTTATAAAACTTGTAGCCATTTTGATCCATGAGTTTACACCCTGAACTGGAGGCTGCGTAGTCCTGTGAATCATCAAGCTGTATAACTTGGTGATTCTGTACACTCAGTTTACTATACTTCACTGAACAATTCTGAAACCAACAAAAATAGAGTTTTACATCCAACCAGTAGCTTATTTAGGGGCCATCAAGCTGTTCTGTATCTTATTGGACTGTTGAAATAAAAAGTTTTACTTCCTACTGTTCTGTATCTTATTGAACTAATGAAATGAAATGAAGTTTTTCATCCTACTGTTCTGTATCTTTTGACTTTTGAAATAAGAGTTTTTCATCCCATTGTTCTTTGTCGTATCAAGTTTTACATCCAGTTGTGCAATCTCTTTAAATAAGCCTTAATCAGTTATTTTTACTTACTGAGACAATTTCTTTGTACTGAATTAGAAAATGAAATGGAGTTTTACATCCTACTTTTCTGCACCTAATGGGCTTATGAAGACAGATAATGCCATGTACCCAATAAGAATGATGAAACATTGTTCAAAACCCAAACAGCTAAAAAATATCCCTTATCAACTATTTTCCCATTTTTGGTCTGAAAAATTGACTTACAGTATTAGTTTTATATACAGCCTGCCATTGACCTGGTTCATCATAGTACAGCAGAATTGATTCCGGGGCATATTCCTGAAAATACATAAAAAAAACGGGTAAAGTTAATAACATGGAGGCTAACAAGTCAAGCTTGGATTAGTGTTTAATTCCACTTTTGTAGGGCATTGATACTTCAAATTCCATATTCTTGAAATTTCTTCATGACCAAAAGGGACACAGGATATGTTAAACTTTCCTTTCATACCAATAATAAACCTATATTTTCATTATTTGCAAAATTACTGCTATTTGAATTTTTGGATAGGATTGAAATCAAGATTCTTCTTTTTACACAGATTTATCAAATATCTAAACGATGTAAAACCATTGTTTAGTAATTTCAATAGCGGAAGAGGGCCTAATCCTTGTTTTAAGAACTTCAATGATGGTAACTTTTTTGAAAATATTTGGATTTTAAATTTTTTTTCATCCAAACAGTCAGCTTCCTCTGTGTTTAAACATATACATTTCTATATATTTATAAAAAAATTCAATGTAATGGCTCACACTGTCACTATATGTGGGACTCGTTCCCTTTCCTTTTGACCAACAGTACAATACTCTCAGAAATAGGAATAATTTTTTATCCAAACAAATCAGTAATAGTGCTTGCAGGACACTGTGAAATTTGGGTATTCAAATCCATGTGTGTCAAGAATTATCTGCGTTTGAATGTTAAAAAGATGACTCATCTTTTCTTGAAACTGCGCCATATTTAGGAAACACATACATAGAAAAAGTGAGTAAAATTTCTAGTTTCAAATGGGCCTATATTTGAAGAGATAAGGCGATTTTCGTTCAGTTTTAGTAGTTCTGAAGATTATTTACATATATTCAAGACCCAAGTAAACCCTGAAAATGGTAAACATGACCTTGGTGAAAGAGTACCCAGTCCTATTCTACCCCAAAAAAGTTGTGTTATCATGTTACTAGGCATATATCCTGATTGAAGGTTCAAATCTCCTAATAATAATATATATCACATGATTTGGGCACAAGTCCAAAATGTTTCATAATATTTTTTATTTCAATACAATGTGTCATTATGTGGGCCTACAGGGAAAGTTCAACCCATGTCTTATAATATACCCTAACAAATACTTAAAGTCATAAACAATTCTAGTGAGTACATTCAATATATTCTTACACAGTGATAATAGTTAAATATATTTTTAAATACCACAATCACAATCTATACTTCAAAGTTATAAATTTATTCTATTTTTGAAGCTTATATGACATGCGGATGATATTTTTGTAGGTACTCTGTTTACAGACAAGATTTATGGTCAGTTGTGAACTTACTGTGTGTTGAAATCAACATGCACTTCTCACGCAGAACAACATATCTACACTAAAGTCCATCAATGTCAACCCCTAGTTATGTTTATTTATCGCAAACTTTAAATCGATTGGCTCGTAGCGAAAATAATGAAATTTTCTCCGTCATTTTTCTCAAGGTCGTCAGCGATTTGCTTGGTTGTCATAAACAGTCACACTGATACACATTTATTACAAACTAATCCTGGCCACGTATTCTCGAAACGATCTTAGTGCTAGGATTTCCTAGAATCAATGTTAAAAGATAAGAACTTGGCGCTAAGATCATTTCGAAAATACGGGGCCTGGACTGTAAAAACTCACTCAATAATCACATTCACTGCACTACTTATATATAATCTTTACCTCCTTCCCCCTTGGTAACAAATCAAATGAGGTAGACATCTGTCAGGTTGTATCAGTGAAAGTCAAGATGACAAAATCAATAAAATAACAGAAGATTAGATCACTACTGACAGCCTATGTAAATGTCAACCTATCACAAGCACATTCTTATACCTTGACTGTAATAGCCCCATTTCTTGTATCACAAAAGTAAAAGCGCAACCAAATTGTTTACGGTCTTTCAGTCAAGCACTCTGATTGGCTGTATTCTGTAGCATACAATCCAATCAAATCGCTGCATTTATGAACTGTAGGTGGCTATTGCAATCAAGGTATATGTCGGCCATATTGGATACAGAACGAGGGTCAAAACGCAAACAAACAACGCTAACGTTATGTCACTGTAGTAAAATCACCACCTTGACGTCTTTAAGGCCTACTTCTCCAATCCCACTAAATCAAAATCAATGTGCTCTTCAATACAAATTCACCAGAAAATCAATTGAAAATCATTTAAATATTTAGTTTAAGAAAACTTGTTATTTGTTTGTTATAGTTTCGGTCTAGTTGAGACAAAAGAAACATGAATAATTAGTAATAGAACTAATAGAAGTTATATAACACACACCAGGCTACGATATACTGTAACTTGAAGCCTTAAAGGGATAGGTTCCCCATTTTTTTTTATCAATCGTACCTTAGTCTCAAAAACGATAATTTTTTAGCAAAGCCAATCAGTAATAGTGTTCAGCACTCACGGTCAAAATTTTAATCTTCAAATCTATGTATGTCCAGAATTATCTACGTTTGAAAGTTTAAAAGACGAGCCATATATAGAAAAGATATCTATAGAAATAGAAAGTGAAATTGAGATATTTTTAAAGGAATTATAAGATTTTTGTACATTTCTAGTACTTCTGAAGACATTTAATATATTCAAGACTGAAATCAATTCCACAGAATTATGCATCTGTCCCCTTAAACCATTTAAACTAAGAAAGGTATTGTCAAGCAAATTGATGTTATCTTTATATTCATATAACAGTATTTAGGTCCGAGACCCATAAATACAATAAATAAAGTGCAATATTATAATGTGAGATTGAGATTTAAAAATCCCAATAAAAGCACTGGCCTAGGTCACAAAACAGAGATGTGAGGATGGAAAGATGGCAGTGTTTTTAAATCGAGTATCAATAGAATAGAATACAATGTATTACATTATTTACTATGTAGTTTTTAGTAGGGCTGGGTTTCGATTAACAAATTGAGATTGGTTATTGATGGCACATTACCGATCAATAATCAAAAAAATAATCAAAATAATTCAATTGAAAAACCCTGTAAATACTAAAGTAAAAAACATGCCAAAATTCTCAATTCATGGGTAATTTTTGCGTCACAGAATTGTATTCTTGCTTTGATCGGTTATTATAGTTTATTGTGGGTATATTATGTGCTGAGATTACTATGGTACTTGTTAACAGGTACAGTGGAGAAAACGTAATTTTGACATTTACTCGACTGTGAAATTTGATTATTTCGATCATTTTACCCAACCCTAGTTATCAGAGTCCCTGATACACGTTAACAGATAAGAAAAACTCTTTAAAATCTCTTTAAACATTGTTGATAACAGGAAATTGATTTTTAGTATAAATATCATGTTATCAAAATACTGTATTCTATATATAATAATAGCTTATCTTTAAAATAGCCCATGTTAATAACCTACACTAATTAACAATAACGACCTAATTAATTAACACATTATACTCAGAGTTTACTGGATTCAATTCACCCTTTTTCACATAACATCTTTTTATACGCCTATATTATAATGTGTTCGTATATTAACGTCGCATCTGTCCGTCGGTCGGTCCATCCACAATTGGCTTGTGAACGCAATAGAGACAACAGTTTTTATCTGATTTGAATGAAATTTGGTGTGATCATTTATATTGATGAGATCTTTGACAAGTTTAAATTTGACTGTCTTTCAATGAACATTCTAGAGTTATTGCCCTTGATTTATGAAAAACGCCTCAAAATTTGTTTGTGAACACAATAGAGAGTACAGTTTTTATCCGATTTAAACGAAATTTGGTATTTGATTTTTCGATCAACGGAATTTGAGTTGTTACCCTTGACTTAGTAAAAACGTATGAAATATGTTGGCGATAGAGGTGACAGTTTATGTCAGAATTTTATTAAATAATGTGTGTTTGTTTAACTCAACAATATCTTGCACAAATTAGATTTTTGGTATGATTTGACACAGATAGGTGACCGCCCTTGATATACTGTAAATGTGTCAGGAAAGTGGGCGTATCTTGCTAGGCAACCACTTGTAAACTATAAAGACATTTAAAGAAACACATCCCTTTTGGAAAAATAAATGTTTTATTTTGGCATAAGTTCTATTATGTCCGAAAAGCAGGCATATTGAATACAATATTACCAAACATTAATATACTTGTGTACAAAGAGATAACAAATTTCTACACAATTCCTGTTCAAAAATTGATAAATCTGTGTACAAAGGGAGAAGGAATTTCGACAAAATTCCTGTTATTTAGTAGTGTGTCATTCTCAAATAATTCCCCCCCCAAACTTTTGAAAGGGCACTGGAAGCATCATGATAAATAATCCCCCCACTCCCAATTTTTTAAGGTCACTGGCAATATCAAGAAATATATTCTTACCTTTGGATAAATAAAACTATAGGTCAGTTCTCCTCTTTTAGTCACAAAACAGAACCTGGATATAAACATCCAATTCTGAAATTATAGAAACATCAATAGTTAATATACACAAAGGTCAAAGGTTAAGTGCATCCAATGATATAGATTATCCATAACGTCACCTTCGCAAAGGTCTTATGTGATACATGAAAATTTTGGGTGTCCCTGATAAGCTTAAATAATTTAGAAATCCTCTTTACAATTACTTTAAGAATCTATTCTCTATTAATCTGTTTGTTAATTCTTTAATCCATTTGGGTCATGCTTGCATACATTGCTTGATAGCAGAAGAAGATATAGGTTTGTAATTGATAGAGATAGATGAATACGAGCTCTATCAGACATTTTATAAAATATTTAGGCAACTATAATCTTAATATAAATATTTATTACAATTTCCATAGATATTAATGTTCCTGTTGGAACCATTAGTCTTCTGATATTTTCAGATTCTGAAGAATATGGACTTTGATTTCATATATTCCAAGTATGTTATATTATTCAAACCAGCTGAACAAACAATACTCTCTCACTAGAGGTTAAGCCTGTATGCCTGTGCCTCTGCTTTCGTAACTACAGTGTTACAACCTAAAATTTGATATATTCATGAAGTACAATCGCATACTATATATTCAATCAATAATAACATGTAAGTTTATATTCAGTATTGTTATCTTAAAGACTATTCCTATCTGATTATTAGTAATTAGTGGGTAGGACTTGACGATATTACTAACTAAATATATAGTCATAACCTGTATATCTTCCAGGGGATTAGAGATTATGCAAACCTCTCTAATCTCATTGTTATTGGATTATATGATCAGGGCACATGTTCAAACTATGTTTTTCAGCAAGCCAGATGAAATGAAATGAATGGAGTTTTACGTCCTACTTTTCTGCACTATATGGGCTAATGAAGACAGTGCAATGAGGTTAAATTTTGTCAGGACAGCGGCATTAGCCTACTTTAGTTTTAATGTCCAAATTTCCAAATTAACGCACACAGTCTGTAGAACACAGGTCCTCCGTTTATTGTCCCATCGTCAGACAGATGAAGATTTTTTTTAAAAATCACGTGTCCATTACTAGATGAGCTTTTTTTCATTAGAATGGTTTCAGGTTTTTAAAATACATAATAATATCACAACCGTATTTATTAAAGAACCTTCTCATCTGTCAAAACTTATCTCCCTAGGTTATTTGTTATAATACTTATTATCCGAGAAAAAAAAAAAAATATGTGAATTTTTCTCTATTATTTTTAAGAAGATTGGAATAGCAGCATTTAAATAGTACTGTTAGTCTTAGATTATCTTTGCATTGATAAAAATATAAACATAAGCACACATAATGTCTTCAAAATTTGTTTTTACACAGGACAGTTTTCAGCCACAATGAGAAATGAGTTTCTTTTCAATGTCAACTTACAAAATATTATATTTTTATCAACACAAAAACATTCTAAGACTATCAATACTATCTTGAGGCTGATATTCCAATTCTCTTGAAAGATACCGAAAAAATTCAAAACATTTGCTCAGACAATAAGATTTAAAATACACCAAAATATTCTAAACTTTGTGTTAACCCCCACCCCACCCCCTACGAATTTGATTAAAAAAAAATTGAGAAATTGCGATTGACTTCCTTAATGGCAAAGAGGAAATAAATGAAGAGCTGTATAAAGAGCTCATAATAATAATATACGCAACAGTTCCACCATTAGTTCAATATTAATAAAAGATATAAAATCTCTCACCTCTCCTGTACTAGTAGTATCAATATTCCCCGACACATATTTCCCATCACAAAATTCCACATTTAAAATTAACAAAAACAAACTAAAAACTAGGATTTTGGTCATTTTCGTTGTTTCACTTCATTACAATATTCTACCTGTAATTAGAGAGCCGCCATGACAGGTATATAGCAGGTCACGTGATTAGTTGCTAGGAGACGTAATAAACAGTTATTGAGCTTGAGAAATATACAATGTATGATATAGGAAGTCGCGGAGCTTTCTATTGTATACTGATTAATACGATTAAACTAAAATTCACTTGAAATTTATATGGAGTTTTACGTCAGTCACCTTATTGAAAGTCTGGATTATTCAACTATAGTCCAATTTGTGGTAAATTTATCTGTAATCGCTGAAATGGAAAAACAGCATTTGTAAGAACACGTCTAACCATAGGAAATAAAATGATTGGGGTTTTGCGTCCTTCTTTCCTGCACCATGTGGGCTAATGAAAACAGGGTGCAATGAGGTCAGGACAGCGGTATTAGCCGTCTCTTTTTTGATTTCCAACTGTCGAGGCACAGTCTGTAGCACACAGGGCCTCGGTTTAGTGTACCATTCGAACGACTAGACGCCTTTTCCATGTCAGCCCTCGTAACTGCATCACTGACAGGGGGAAACCAGGTTGAAAAATCTGAAGGTATTATATCGACCTGTGCAAGGATTGAACCATGGACCTTCAGGTTAGCGAGCAATAACTACCAGATATAGTGTCAGTAAGTTTCAAACGGACCTCCGTCATTGATAACTATCAGAGACCAGATATAGTGTCAGTAACTTTCAAACTGACCCCCGTCATTGATAACTATCAGAGATCAGATATAGTGTCAGTAAGTTTCAGACTGACCTCCGTCAATAAGTACTACCAGAGACCAGATATAGAGTAAGTTTCAGACTGACCTCCGTCAATAAGAACTATCAGAGACCAGATATAGAGTCAGTAAGTTTCAAACTGACCTCCGTCAATAATAACTATCAGAGACCAGATATAGAGTCAGTAAGTTTTAAACTGACCTCCGTCAATAATAACCATCAGAGACCAGATATAGAGTAAGTTTCAGACTGACCTACGTCAATAAGAACTATCAGAGATCAGATATAGAGTAAGTTTCAGACTGACCTCTGTCAATAATATCTACCAGATAGAGTCAGTAAGTTTCAGCAGGACAGTAAATAAACGATAAGGTGCCATAATCTGAGAAACACACAGTGAAAACACTTTAATTTCAGTGCAATATTTGGGGAGTGGGGTTAAACAGATGGAATTGCCTTATCTTGTGAAATGTGAAGTTAAGGCCTTGATCAGAGATCAGACATAGAGTCAATAATTTTCAAACTCGAGTAATCCTAGTTACTACCCAACGTTTCACTAACAACAACTACAAGGTAGACAGATACTGGAGATTAATAATTAACACCGTACTCTAATTACAACCTCGTGTTTTTATTCTTTAATTATTAAATAATCTATCTTGTAATTAACATTGTTTAAAGGGATATAGACTTATGAAGAAGTCAACGGCATGCAGTGTTCAATGAGGGAAATTTTGCAAATGTCCGAGCACATTGTGCACTTCATGGTATTCCCCAACATCGTTGGCTCAAAGAGGTGAATTTGTAATTGACTGCAAGAAAATTGTATTGACCAATTGAAATATAATTTTTCTTTTTTGAAAAGCAACACTTATTTCAATTTTCAAAATCTTACAGAATGATAAGGTGAGATAATCCTAAAATCCCAAATATCAATGGGTTTGACAGTGAAACTATTGGACGGAAATGAATGAAGTTTTACGTCTTTCTTTTCTATAACATGTGGTCTAATGAAGACGGCCAACGCGATGCAGGGTACAATGTAGGAAATTTTGCCAGGACAGCGGTATTAGCCTGCTCTTTTTCGATTTCCAACTGTAGAGGTATCTTTAACGTGGGGCCTCGATTTATTGTCCCATCCGAACGACTAGACGCTTTTTCCATATCAGCCACTAGAAACTGTAATGGGGAAAGGGTTAACGTGGGGGCGTTAGAAGGGGGTTAACGTGGGGGGTAAGAAGGGGGTTAACGTGGGAGTGTAAGAAGGTTGGCCATCTTCACTGGTCAAGTAATTACTCCGTTTATACCTAATTTCTGCAAAAAGTTCCATATTACTAGTTGCTATTTACTATTATTAGTTTTTGAGACAGAGAAATTGCTTTTATTATGAAACATTTTGGACTTGTGCCCAAATCATGTGATATAAATGTTATTATTAGGAGATTTGAACCTTCAATAAGGATATATGCCTAGACACACCAAACGCATAAAATGGGCCTAATACCATGTCGATTACCAGTTGCGTATAAGAATAGCGGTCATGAGTTTCGAACGCAACTCTCATGTAACTGAATTGAGAGTTGCCTTCAGAACTCATTGACCACTTTCATTATTCACAAACATACACAACGGGTAATTTCTATGGTATGTGGACAACTTCAGATAAGAAATCAATGACCCGGACCTCGGGTCTCAAAGAACATTTATTCTACCTAAAGGGGCGCAACCTACAGTTATTTTGAGCCTGTGAAAGCATGTGAGTCCTTTTTCTTTCAGCCTTGTCTACAAGATACATTGTACATGTCGTCAACAAGTTTCAAGTTAATATAAAGGCTATCATTGAACCAGTAAGTTCCAAATTCACTACCGCTAATCACGAATATCAGTGGTCAATTGTATATATATATATATAAAAAATAACGATTTTGAGACATTTTATTTAAAGAGAAAATGAAATCTTATAAATAAAAGGTTTATATACATTTTGTTACCCACAGTTTCACAATCACAAACACGGCGTAGAGTTATATATCCATAGACGGTGTTCTTGAAACCCAGGTCCTTTGAACTGAAATAAACTGTGAACGTTCAAGATTCTGCAACAGTTGGAGATCATATAAGAAGGCTAATGTAATAGTATAATTCTCTCATTGCACACTGCAGTATGAAGTTGCTCGCCTTCATGAGCCGCATTAGGAACAGACAAGTTGGACGCATTTCACCTTTTCATCCCAATATTTTGTCAAGAGACGAGGCCGAGAATGTAAAACTGAAGTTCTGTCTTCCTAGAAAAACCTGCCAGAGTCAAAATATCTCCAATAATTAAACAGAGCAAGGAATCATCCATAATATACTAGATACTATCTCTTAAACATCAACTTTTTCGTCTCTTTCCTACATATTACAAGAATTACTTTTGGATTTTCGAAATCCCGACAATCGGCTGTTCAAATGTCAAGCTTCGCGGCAAAAGTGTTTCCCATATTTTACAAGGATAACATTTTGGTTTGTCGGAATCGAGAGGCCCGCTGTTCAACTTCATCACAAACGTCTTTCCTATTTATTTCAAAAGGTAATTTACTTTGGATCCCTTCGAAGGGTATTGTCTACTCCATCAGCCATTCCATAATCAAACCTTTTGGCACTAGCATATCAAATATTTTACTAGGGTAATACTGTCTCGGGGACTCTGTCTAATCTTTTAGCAGCGAGTTCTTGGCGGAACCTCTTGGTATTTGTTTACAAGAATAACAACTTTGTTTTAGGACTCTCTTATACATAGTGCTTTCTCAGACGACCTTTCCTTGATTATCTGAACCCTTATTAACTACTCGGCATACAGGAACGATGAGGAGCGATTCATGGGCAAAAGATTTTAAATCGTCGATGGAGATGGGAGCCTACTTCTTCTCATTATTACCACTGTTCTAGAAAAAACTGAGATCTTAAACACCCACAGCTCCCGATCTGCAGTACTCCTCTAAGACAATGTGCACGAAATTATATTCCACATTTCTGATTTCTGTTGAATCAAAATCGGTGAATTTTAGCACACAGTTGTTCGACTAGAAATTTTATCAACTTCACCCTGTTTCAAATCTGGGCAAAATTAGCGGGCACATTTTCATAGTAATATTGCTCTTTATTTTGTCTCTTGTATGATCGAGAATATTGGTCCTCGTTTTCCAGTCTTCTTTTATTGCCAGTTCCGTCCTGATAGTTTACGTTGTAGAGTTCTCCAACATTCCCGTAGGTATGGTACGAATATTGCGTTTCATTTGACACCTGCGTTACGACCTGCTTTCCGTTCTGATCGTAGGAGTAACCGTTATATTCAAACAGACTCTGTCGTCCGCTGGAGTACGTTTGATACCCATTCTGCTCGTTCCTGAAAAAACAATAGAAGGAGCTTTCAAAAGGAAAGTGAAAGTAATCTGGGGGTTCATTATGTATTGGTCATACAGAATCTACCCAGAATGCCACTGAACATTCAAAAAGAGTTGCTTCCTCTAAAAGTTGTTAATACCAACGCCCTATTTTGCGTCATTTTTTTGTTTTTTTTTATGACCGCTGTTGTTTTTCAAAAGTGAAAATATGGAAACGCTTTTTTACTGTGACCTTAGTAACTTTACTTACATTCTCATCACGACCGCCATATTGTCTCCACTTCCGGTTTGTTGATCACGTGGCCAATCTGTAGCGACTGTTCGATTTCTAGAAGACTCGTCATAAAGCTGTAAAATTCAGAACGAAATGAAAGTCAAAAACATTTCCAAGTTCAACCTTTAACTATCTTGTTCCAACAATAGACGGATGAAAATGAGTCAATGGGCAATGAATTATATAAATGCGGTATATATGCACTGTGCTAAGAAACCTGTCGAATATTGAATAAAGCTGATGCTGACAGAAAAGGTGATTCACTACAAATTTCTAAACTCTTTAGTCTTTATTTAGTCTTTATTATTTAAATGGTTCGCAGTGCGGCGCCAGCCTTCCGAGACTGGGGGTACAAATATGAAATATTCACCATTCATTGTTTCTGAAAATGACAGACGAAGCAAGTAGATTTCAAGTAGTCATAAGGTAAACGCCTACCTGTGGTGTGGTCAAATCAAACGGTGTCTGTGTTTTATTGTTATTATTCAGACTGTACTGGTTGTAACTCGTACAATTCTGGAATAGCGACCCGTTTCTGAAACAAAAATCCACAATACATTAGTATTTTAGTACAAACATCACAAATGTTGTAACTTCCGCAAAAATACCAATCAAAATGATATTTAATAGTGTACTTATAACTCGGTTTACCTCCGTCATTGATGTAGTTCTGAGGGGCTGGCACAGAAAAGGGTCCAGTCGTTCGGATGGGCCAACAAGCCGAGACCCTTTGTGCTTTGGACAGGCGTCACCCATAGCACTTCGTTAGTGTTAAAAGAGGTATCAATTCGGATTGTTCTACTTTCAAGGCAATAAAGTATATCCCAAGAGATGCCATCATTTCGACTGAGTATAGAGTTATTCTAAATACTGACCCTGAATTAGTTGAGAGATGTCGAGATCGTGACGTATCTGTTGTACAATACCCATTAGATAAATCTTCTTGAGATTCGGGAGTCATGTAACCTGAAACAATACAATGTGTCACATCAGAATTGATCCTCGTAAGATAAATCGTGAATGAATGAAAGGAAATGAAACGCTTTCAGGGAGAAATTTCCCATTCAGCTAGGCAGAAGAAACTATTGTTTTTAGTAAACCCAACAAGGTATAGAACATTTAGAATTAAAAAATTTGAAAATTGATAAAAAAAAAAACCAAAAAGAACAAGTGGAGCTTTAAAGCACTGAACGGTAGGACGTTAAATCCTGTTTTATTAACCAAAAGGGTACAGAACAAGAATTCGCAAAAGCTTATTTCAGATCATTTCATTTCAGGGCATCGTTTTAGACAATCTTCTAGAATACCTTACCTATTGTATTCAGCAAGCCTTTAGTTGAAGTAATAACAGAACACCTCTCCTGATTGGCTGGGGTGGATTTCATCATTTCAGTCGGGTCTGTTTTGATCAGTATGTTTTCTAACACTATACCTAAAAAGAAAAAAAACAATATAAAAAGAGGGTTGGAATTGAACAGGACTCTTTTTTTGTTTTTCGCACTGTAAAATTCCCCACTTACTACAAATTCCTAACGCAAAAGGTTTTGATTAACGGGGTTCAGCAGTACAGGTCCAAAAAAAATTAAACCCTCGATTCCCCAAAGGAAGACAGAAATGCCACCTTTTTGCTCTAGATTTTTGTTAATGCACTCATCCCCAGTTTGAGTACAATGAAGGATATTTTTGTCAAGAAAGGTGCAATAGCCTCTATTACTATCTATTTATACATATTTGACCCGAAATCATATGGAGATAATGGTATGCCTTGCCTTCCAAATACCCAGCACAATGAAATAATCATCTTACCCGTATCCTCCCCTTTAATAGTTCTGAGGAAATCATGTCCTTTCTCCTGACCATGAAGACTCTCGACCAGATACAAAACATAGTCATCAAACATTAGATGGAGCAGGTGAAACGAACCTAAAATATACAGAAAATCCTAATATACGGAGTTAATTGCACCTGTAATTGTGACCTTACACCAGGTGGTGTAAAAGAGATGGGTAAGATTCTGAACGTTTCAGACCAGTATCACAGGCTTTCAGAGGCTAGAAGGATGACACGTTTCAGACAAATAATGCAGATGGTACTAAGACAAAATCAAACAGAAGTATGTTTAAAGTCTAGTATTTGCAATTTGTAAGAAGTTTTCATACCAATTGCTCTACGGGGGAATGTCGAAACGTCTTTTTTTACTTCCAGTTGTCGTGACATCTTAAGTGTGCACAGAGTGCAGCATACCGGACATCAGTGAATGAAAATATAAGAGGACCATTTCAAGAGGGTGAGAGAATGTCAAAATAATCTGAGAATCCTTACCAAAACTAGGAGCACTGTGTAAAGTCATATCCCGGATCACTCTGGTACCAAAACACGACCACATTAACAGGAACTGTCGAGCTATCTTCCGCAAAGTTCCTGGCTTCTTTGAACTAGGCTGAAATAGAAAAACCAAGTCGTTGCTTAGAAGGAGTCGCCGATCAGTGTACACAGAAACCGGGTCTGTTCGACTGTTCGCCCATGCCATGTTTGCCCTGGTTTATTTCAACGTATTTCACAGATTGGCTAAATCGAAAATAGATACTGAAGCTGATACTGACTCTATTCCAGGCTGGAGTAGAGGCAGATATGGTTGCTCACAAGAATTTGTTTCGAACGCAACTCTCATGCTAATGGGTGTGAGTGCACCTTTAGGTAAAGGATCAAAAATCAAAATCTCACCTGTACTACACACTTATCCACCATATTGTCCAGCCATTCTATATAACATTCTATAGCTGATTGTTCTTCTAACAGCTTCTCAAACTCACTACATACTGAAATACACAGTAACCAATACAAATACAAAACAGCCATGCAGCATGCATCTTCAAGCTATTACGAACATAGTCTAAAACCTCGACTGCAATAGTCACCTTTCACGGAAGTGCCAATCAAAGTCTGCAAACGATATGCCATAATGTTTACATTATTTTTGTCGAGGGCTGTATGTTCCAAGTTAACGTCTGCTTCTAGCGGATGCTAATATCGCAGACTAGGTAGTGGCTGGTCAGCCTTATTGAAATTATACCAAAATTTCGTTCCGGTTTTTATAAGCTTTTATTTCTAATATAGCCACTTCAGTGAGGGTCTAAAGGCGGGTCTCTTGAACATTCGTCAAGATAACCTTTTGACCTAATCTGATGACATCTGCTTTAACCAATTAAATTCCTTCACTCTCACAAAATACCAGCACCGGAGAGGGCAAAAAATTGAATGAATACCCCTTGCCCTGGGCACTATAACTTACAATTGACAATGATCATATGGTCTTTATCAGTATACTGGTCCATAGTATACAGCGTCTGTTTAATTATACTGTTTAAATCTATATTCAACCAATCATCCAGCATCTGTGACGTAATATCCGAACTATGGATAACTGTCCGGGCGGCTTGACAGAGGTGATTTAATGAGGTCTGTCTTCGCAGCACTTGGGAGAATCTTCTTGCCACTGAAAAAGTATATCAGTATTCGATTCGTTACCATCTAGATAACAAAGGGAAGTAACCGTGATCAAACAATTATTTATCTTCTGCTACAAAATTACGTAAACTGTGATAGAATTAACCAAATATCAGGCACTTGGGACGCCCAGTAAAGACAACCAGTAATAGTTGTTGCAATGCGTAGAAAAGAAAGGGAAGTAAGTATAATCATCTTTCCTTTTTATTTTCCGGGAGAAAACGGAAACTATGCTACAATTTACCCAAAGCACAAGAAAGCGCTTTAACAATTTCTGTTGTTACTCCGTACAGTGGCGGCGCCAGCCATCCGAGACTAGGGGTACAAATAGGGGCAGACTGACTCAATGGGGGACAACTGCTGAGGCTGAATTCAAATTTTGGCTACTCTGTAGTGGTGTCCACTGATTTTGTGCATTCTGACACATATTTTGGAGAAAAAAGGTATACATTTAGATTTGTTGAAAATAAAGTGGGGTAGGCCTATAATTGGGGGCGCAAACCACTATTCTAGGGGCCCCCTGTACCCCCTCTGACTCCGTACCACATCTATATACATTACACAAGATTGATCTAATGCCCTTGGCTTAATTGATGTCCCTCAATGAATCTACTCTCAGTTTAACTTACGATCAAATTTAACACGCCTAAGAGTATCGGGAAGATTATTTAAAGCTAGCATCAACCATTCGTCTAGTTGTTTGGCAAATCGTCGGATAACTTGAGTTAAACTGAAAATATATACAAGAAAGAGAATACTTATATTTCTTTGAATAAATAATCTTCATTATCTGCTTTACTTGAACAGTAAACGTCATGTGGCATGAAAAAAGAAACATAGGTTTCTAGCAATCGTTCTCGAGATTTTCCGGTGCCGCAAACTGTGCACATTTAAAGATCGTTAGATGTTGGAAATCAGAGATAGTAAGTTAATGCTGGCAAAATGTTCCTCCTTGCACACTTCATTTCATTTCATACCTATAGTTAGCGAGAATTATGAACTGGTGTACTCTGAAATGGAAGTAGTGAGTGCCACCAGGTGGAGAATCAAAGTCTGGAACCCACCTTTCAGGAAGAGCTTGAAGAACTGTTGGCATGAGAACACTAGAAACAGCTTTATAGAGAATAGAATCACAGACACCGACTAGCATGACGATGGTACTACTGTCTAATATAGGAACTATGTGACTAGGCATACCTTGCCAAAAATGCATCAGGAAATTTTGCACCTGAAATGGACGTAGATTTTTATAAAAATCAATACAAGCAAAGTAACTTCCAGTAACCAAAAGATCTCGTCTAAACATGAAAAAATCGGGTACAATAATGGTACTGTATATATAATAGTATATCACTGTTTCTTGGATTTTCTCCTTTTCTCCACGTTAAATGTTTGGCAAAAGAGTAGGGACCCGAAAGGATCTTCTTATGATGCCCGAAAATTCTCACTGTCTAGCTAAATTTTATTCAGATGGCTGCCAAAAACGTCCACCCACTGTTTCTTCTGGTTCATTGTGACTGACAGTGGCGTAGCGAGGATTTCATTGGCTTGGGGGCAGCCGAGCAGCCCGGCGTCCTGCCCTAAAAGTTATCGCCCAAATACGCCCAAAGACGTGACTGAATATCCTTTTTTCTTACCTCGTCGAAGTTAGCTCTTATGACCGTATCTAGAATCCGCTGACAATGTGTTCTGTACATTACTAGAAACGTCGATACCTGTAATAATAACAAGATCATATCGGATTCGCTACACTTGCTAAACGCCGAAAGCAGTGGACGAGGAGTAAGATAATATGGCGTTCTTTCCCTTTGAAGTATTTCAAATCATTACAACTCATCAACAATCCTATCCTTCTTACAGATGAAATGAGTATCAGGTCAAGTCCACCTCTTTGGGTTCCTGAAGAAATAGGAAAACTGTACAAGCAAGACAATTCCGTTATTCAAAATCTCGAACAAACATGGCAAAATTCGGAGTAAATGTGTATAGCAGTGGACTCCTCCAAAGATAAGTACCATCAGATGTTTCAAAAGATTTAGTATGAATCAATGATAATGCACTAAATGATGCAACCGATACTTATATCTAATAGAGAATGGTGGTAAGAAAAAAGAAGTTCTAGAAGAATAAGCAAGCACCGAAACTTCAAAACGTACCTTTTCCTCTTCGATATTTGCAGGAATTTTAATTTCTCTGACACTGGGAAAGTCTGGTAGTAAGGTACCGAGTTTAGACCGAGGAGAATAAGCGATAACTTGTTTACTACACTCTTTCTTTCCATCTCCAGCACTAAAAATGAAGTAAACACTTTTAGAAGAAGCATTTCCCTGCCGGTATTCCTTTTCTCCTGTATCCTGATAGGTACATAGATCAATCTTGTAACCCTTTCTAATGGACACGATTCGAAAGCAAGTATAATTTCCTCATGAGGCGGATAAATTCTCCAGATCACACTCGATTCACAAAGGGGTTAATTTTAGAAATTAAATTAATAAACTTATATAATATAATGACAAACTGGTTGTTTCCGATTTCCTTTTGCTTGGGTCTGCCAGACAGTTTCTATTTCTAAACATCAACAAAACACGGTGTATCTTACCTTTGAATACCTTTAGAAGAGTACATGATATCATAGTAAGACGAAGTTTCACGAACACCAATTCCATAATAGTGATATCTGAAAGAAGGTAAAAATTACTCGAAATAAAATCGAGAAAAATACAAAATATTCCAATAGCAAAATTGACAAAATGGCGGTTTGATAAAAGAAAATAAGTATTCCTATTTATAACTAATCAGGAGAAATTGACTACAGCTCAGTCAACTACTCCATGAAGACTTTAATTTAGCTGGGAATTGAAGCCCAGAATTATTTCGTATTTCCAATATTATTCATTTCTTTATCCGATGTCATTTACACCAATAAGAGTATAAATCAATTATAAAGTTAGAGACCAAACAAATCGAGAGTAGAGAGCATCTCTGTGATAGTAAAATCTTTTGACATTTAGCAAACTAAAAATCCAACTAAGGATGATAGTGCGAATACTTTACTATCTCCGATTTCAGTTTTGGGCTCAATAAACTAATTGTGGCATAGGTCTTATTTAACACGGCACTACACCTTGGTAAAAAAAATTTGTCTTTACCTTTGGGAAAATAATAGTGTGTGTCTTGAGGCAAATCCCCTACAGTTTTGGGTTATTACCCCCAAAAGAGATGTTAGTGAGAATACTCTACTTACTTGGATTGTCCTCTGGTACCCAATCGTCTTGTGGTGATCTGAGGAAACTGTTGGCGTATTATCTGAAACGTACAAAGTACCACAGTGAGTTTTCTCTTCCAACTGATAGCTTCTCCAAACATATGCAGAGTATTCGAGTATAATACACGTACGGACTTTTGGTATAATGTTAAATGATAAAAATCCACACAAACCAGACAATTCTGTTAATCAAAACCTCAGCCAAACCATGACAAAATCGAGAGTAAAAGTTGTTTAGTAATGGACTCCTCCAAAGAGAAGTACCATCAGGTGATGGCATATCAACTCAAGATGGAAAAGAGGAGATGGGGTCGCCTTATCATTGTTCATACTAACCATCGCAGAAACAGTGGCGGCGCCAGCTTTGCAAGATTTGGGGTACAAATAGGGGCAGACTGACTCTTTTTAGAGAGTTTTCTGAAGATTTTTTTTTTTATAAAAAATGGCATTCTGACAGATATTTTGGGAAAAAAAGTATACATTTAGATTTGTTGAAAATAAAGTGTGCCCCCCACTGGCGCCGCCACTGCGCAGATGACATGTTATACTCCTTTCAAACCAAATTTGGGGCTTTCCGAATATATTCAACGGTCGTGGCTCTGGAGGGGATTAGATATGTTACTGTACCTACCTTCCCAAAACTAGCAGCGTTAATAGGGTTACTGTCGTTTCTCTCACAGAAGTCTAGGTAGTGTAGGTAGAGAGTAGAACGTGGTATACAGACACCTTCCGCTATCTCATAGTTCTCTTCTAACCTAGATATACAATTTACATAGAAACGTGGTAACCATTCACTCATAACACCTCTTTAAGCTGATCCGTAGCTAACTGAGGAGGGACTCAAGGGACTGCAATTTTTTAAATGTTTTGGGCGACACGTCTATTTGTCCTGACAGTCTCCTTAACACACACATCACTTTATACTGATTGTAGTTTGGTGATATGGGATGCAGGAAATGGAAGAGCAATAAAATCAACACAGAGTTTAAAACGTTATCCGGTGCGTATTTGTTGTAACAGGTCCTGCGACGTACACATTCAGATTCAGATTCAGATTCAAATTCAGTCAAAAATTTCCAAAGGAAGGAATTGGGTGGAGGGTTAAGATTTGGTTCAACATCTCATCCTTTGTAAGAAGGTGTTTATATTTTAGACTCGAAATACAACTCCATAAACTGCAAACAGCTTCATATACTACCCAATATCCTCGTGACATTGAAGACGATCCTAGGGGGAGAGGACAGCAATAAATCGACTCGTCGTTTAGATTGGTCAAAAATAACGAGGATCTTTTATAGATGTCTATGGTCTTAAGGAACTTTTACTAGTTCAATAAACTAATACTGCTGCAAGAGAGTAGGTTTCAGAACAAGATAACTTACCATTTTAATGTTAGTGGTGTTGAATGAGGTTTGGAGCCTCGTTTTCTCTTAGATACATCAACTACAATATACAAATAATACTTGTTCTAACCAATTTTTACTATCGTTGCAAATAAGAACAGAGCGAGACAGGCAATCCTATATACTCTGTCAAACACGATGGATTTTTAGTATAGAATCCTGTGGAAGGTCTTTGGAATTCCTTGGAGCTTGTGGGGTTTAGAAGATACAACCATCGATGGAACCAAAACAAGTGATTGAGATATAGTATACAATGTCTAAAATACAGCAAGCAATATCCATTAGATTTTTTTTTTAATTTCTTGCATCTGAGATGTTTTTAATGGAATACTGCTGTTTTTTTGGAAGCATCATTCACACAATACAGCACTCGACAACCCCTCCTAACATCACCAGCACTTCCCACATCCCTACCCTACTAGCCCTACCCCTACCCCACAGGTAATAACATCTTACCTTTCTCATCATTATCATCAGAATCTGTTTTATCTGGACTCAATGTACTGCTTGTACTCACATTACTTGATCTTCTATTGGGGTCAATACATTGATCTAGCCAGTCTGCAATTAATAAATGAATTTATGAATTAATGCCTGAATGAATGCCTGAATAAATGAACGAACGAAAGAAAGAACGAACGGATGAATGAATGGAATCTAATTGAATTAGTTAACCCAGTCATGATTGATTGGAAATATGAATGAATAATGGAAGAATAAATGAATGAAAGAATAAATGAACGAAAGAATAAATGAATGAAAGAATAATGAATAAATAAATAAATAAATAAATAAATAAATGAATGAATGAATGAATGAATGAATGAATGAATGAATGAATACCTGAATTAATGAATGAATACCTGAATGAATATTTTATGAATGAATATTGTACGTAACAAAACTCCAAATATTGATATTGGTGTTTCTATAAACCGACAATAGTTCAACAGTTGACCACTCTCTAGAATATAACCCAGAGTTAAATGATGTCTGGTGTTTCTATAAACCGACAATAGTACAACAGTTGACCACTCTCTAGAATATAACCCAGAGTTAGATGATGTGTGTTTCTATAAACAGACAATAGTACAACAGTTGACCACTCTAGAATATAACCCAGAGTTAAATGTGTGGTGTTTCTATAAACAGACAATAGTACAACAGTTGACCACTCTCTAGAATATAACCCATTGTTAGGTGATGTCTGGTGTTTCTATAAACAGACTATAGTACAACAGTGGAGCACTCTCTAGAATATAACCCAGAGTTTGGTGATGTTTGGTGTTTCTATAAACAGACAATAGTACAACAGTGGACCACTCTCTAGAATATAACCCAGAGTTTGGTGATGTTTGGTGTTTCTATAAATAGACTATATTACAGCAGTGGACCACCCTCTAAAATATAACCCAGAGTTAAATGTCTGGTGTTTCTATAAACAGATAGTAAAACAGTGGAGCACTCTCTAGAATATAACCCAGAGTTTGGTGATGTTTGGTGTTTCAATAAACAGACAATAGTACAACAGTGGACCACTCTCTAGAATATAACCCAGAGTTTGGTGATGTTTGGTGTTTCTATAAATAGACTATATTACAGCAGTGGACCACCCTCTAAAATATAACCTAGAGTTAAATGTCTGGTGTTTCTATAAACAGACAATAGTACAACACTGGACCACTCTCTAAAATATAACCCAGAGTTAGGTGATTTCTGTTGTTTCAATATACAGACAATAGTACAACAGTGGAGCACTCTCTAGAATATAACCCAGAGTTAAATGATGTTTGGTGTTTCTATAAACAGACAATAGTACAATAGAGTACCACTACTCTAGAGTAACCCAGAGTAAATTTATCGAGACGTCCACAGCTATGAAGTGTTCACTCAGCATTATTTTAACATGGTAATATTAGGAAGATCTGATTTTCAACTACCGATCAAACGATTTGCTTATGGAATAATACTTCGTTTCTCATTCCAACCTTCTAGATTTTTTCGCGTTCTCCAAATTAACGATTAAGATACTTTTTATCAAGACGTTCAAACATTGTAAGTGATACAATTGTCAAGATTTTAGTCTAGTTTTCATTAATCTAAGCATTTACCTTTATATCCTACTAAAAAAATCAGTAAAGTTGAACGTTTACTTGGCATCGCAGCATAATGCACTAAAAACACCGACCCGCATGACTAACAAAATCCCATGAAATAATCATTAGTACAAAATATTGTTTGAAAGATAAAATTGTATTTAGTTTACAATAATGAGTTTTAGATTTGGACAGAAAAAGTTAAAAGTCATGACCTGATAATTTATGAAAGAATAAAGAGCCAAATAAAGAAATAAAATCATAAAGTTTAATTCATTCAACCCATCTTTAACATCTAACCCGTAAAAAGTAGAAAAGTCGCCGAAAAACTGTAAAATTTATTGCTTCAAACTTCTATGAGTGTTTTAAGTAGCGGAGTTAATTCGCAATAATCGGCTTTGTGAGGTTTGAATGAAGGTTTATTTTTCAATGAATGATGAAGCCATATTGAACGTCGTTGCTCTTTTTCTTTACAAGAGCGGAAGTATAAAGGGATGAACTTGACGTTGCGAGTATGTAGAGTAAGAGGCGAGTATCCGGGGTGACGCCATTAGAGCGTGAAGAGATTCCGTTATATACGTGTATAAAAGAATATATTGATATGTATAAGAAAGTGTAGGTTGTATATGGAAGTTGTTAGGGTAAAAATATGTGGTCTAAGCGACCTTTAGGTATAATATAAGCTATTAATAATAATAATAAGCGTTTTGTTGTCTACAATCTTTGGTTTAGTTAATTACTTTATACCATAAACTTTTATTGTTGTGTATTTTGTTTATTTGTCAGATTATAACCGAGTCTATGTTTAAGAATAAATAATAATAGACTCGAGCATACAGCGAACTAAACAGAACAAAACAAAATGTAATATCTAAAACTAAAATAGACTTGATTATTCGGTACACTAGACAAAATCTAGTATCAAAAATATAAACAGACCATTTAGGGTTATAAGTGATTCGTATGGAACTGCGACACATATTTCCATTTATTTAAAATCAAAATTTAATGCCAGGTAAAAAAAGATATGAAGAATTGAAAATTAAATTAAAATCTAAAGTCACTGACGTTATTCAGGACAATGTAGAATTCTTTTGGTTTAATTTTTCTAATAATTCTATAATTACGACATATTGAACTGAAAAGAAAAACACGCAACCATGTGCAAAAAAAAGTTTTGCATAAAATATCAAACGGAATAATTAGATATCGTCGTTAATTTAAACAATTTATGAAATGATCTGCATTTGAAATCAAATCGCGATTGAATAATTCCATAATCCCCCAAAAACCATACCTTCCTTTTTATATAGTTTTCATCGAGATAACATCAACCTCATTAATCGCGACTGAAGCTGACAGAAGATTAATCAATAAAACACGTAACAAGTCTATACTTTATGATACAGGAGCAGTAGCCTCCAATGTTTATCCCTACCCCTCGCAGTGATGCACGCGAATTTGTTTTCGGGGCTGAACATCAAATAAACACATAAATCACCACCCCCGGAGCGATCAAAGGGGTAAAGTTTCTACCGCTATGGTCGTACCCCCAGGGCGACCATATCCCTAAATACTTCATAGTCGTTATCCCATTAGCACCCGTGACATTAGCGTTCAGTGCATGCCCTATTTGATCCTTAGCAATATAGTCAAAAACCTACAATAACTTTTTTTTACATTAGGGCGTTTCGTTCTTTTTTCGGGTATAGTCCAATCCTGAAATTTGATTAACAACTTTTGCCTATTTAGTTTTCGTAATCTTACTTTATTTATTCATTTTTTTAAAATTCTGTCTTCAATTCTGTCAGAGAAGACAGAGACTCAAATATTCAATGTTTTTTTTTAAAAAAGGAATTGATTTTCCGGTAATTTGATCTACTTTCATTTCTGTTTTATTAGTATACCATTCGAAAAATAAAAATCGTTCCTGATATTTATTGAGTTAAGTTATCAATAGGTATTTTCAGCAACATTTGTCTTTGCTTAGTGTGATTTTTCTTGAATTTTGATATCAGCATCTTTGTTTTAGTATACTTACTTCTCCCATTTGGAGTGAACATGTATCTCATAGAAATACGACAAGAAATACACGACTCGCTCAAACTTTTCCAAAAAAACAAGGAAGCACCATTTGGAAATTATTTTACCTATTCAATTATGTTTTTTAAAATGTTCGAAATACTGTCTTATATAGAGCTCACGTAGAAACACCTATTTCTTCTTAAAAATCCTAATTATTTTGTCCTCTCTTTCCATCCTGCTGGGTATTTTTAGTCGGATACAAGTATAGCTAAATAAGTAGCAAGATGGTTAGCAGAGTTAATGGCTCGATCCAAAAATAATGCAAAGTATTTGAATTATCAACTTCTTTTAAGCAATTATAAATTTGTTTTTATATATTACTGACCGGTCAGAAAATAAAGGATATGATAAACAAAGTGCGAGTTAAAGGTTAAGAAACTTACAGATGTTAATTATGAATAGGTTATCTTAAAATAGTATCATTTCCTAAAAAAAAACTAGGGTACAGTACATATATTATCAATTGTAGAGCGATATAGAAAAAAACTCTGTTAAAATAGTGCTCAATACATCAATTGTAGAGCGATATAGAAATACCACTGTTCAAATAGTGCTCAATACATCAATTGTAGAGTGATATAGAAATACCTCTGTTAAAATAGTGCTCAATACATCAATTGTAGAGCGATATAGAAATACCACTGTTCAAATAGTGCTCAATACATCAATTGTAGAGCGATATAGAAATACCACTGTTAAAATAGTGCCCAATACATCAATTGTAGAGTGATATAGAAATACCACTGTTAAAATAGTGCTCAAAACATCAATTGAAGAGCGATATAGAAATACCACTGTTCAAATAGTGCTCAATACATCAATTGTAGAGCGATATAGAA